ATGGAAGAAGAGAAATCCTTTCTTCCGCTACATTCGACCATTTATGTTCCCCTCATTTGTGTTTGAGTGCTGACAGAATGCTTTTTTCCCCCCTCTCTGTGTCCTTATCTCTAACCCATATAATGTTCTTATTCCCTTTCACGGAGCTTGTGGCTGAAAACTATATAGACAAATGACTTATCTATAGATATTTAAGTGAAGCAAATGTGCATGGACCGCTATTCTACAGTCCCGAGTGCTCTGCCAGCGCCCTCGTCCCCTCCCTATGTGAAATTGTGCAACCAACGCAAAGGGGAATCCTCTCTGACACAGACAAGCACTGCCACGCACACACTGCGAGGGCTGCTGATATATGATATGTGCAGGCACTGAGCTTGCACAAACTCTGCTTTTACTACACACACATCAGCCTCCACTCTGCGAAGACATAACCTTGCTGCCTTTTGTGAAATGGGTTCTCTCTGACGTCAAATGGGCGAGGCGTGCAGCTGAATACAGAGGAGATGAACTGGGTCGAAGCTGCCTGTGTACGTCTCCCACTGCTCTCTGTGGGTTTGTGTGTGCATGCTCACTCCTGTTTGCAGCGATCTGCGATTTCATTCACCTTCATCTTTCATTCAGCCTCTGCAGAGAAAATGGAGAGGCATCCTTGCTACGCATGCTTACCCATTATGAAATTTGAAATGATGCAGTGAATGAACTAAAAACCAGTCATAGGTAGCAGCTATTAAGTTACCCTGAGAAAATTATAGGAATATACTGTGATTGTTCTGTTTATTTACCCTCTGAAGATTCCAGTGTATATCTTACTGTTCTTATTGTTACGGTTTTTTCCTGAGGTGTTTCATGTTTTTAACAGTTTACAAACCCCCTCCCCTAATATTATCATACTCGGCTGGAAATGTCCACACTGGACTGTTAGTACTCTACGTAATAGTTAGATATATTAGAAATGTATGTCTATTATTAACTACCATTCCACTTGTAAAACTGTGTTTTTCGTTGGGTTGACTGATTTATTTTTGTTGAGGACAAAGAATTTTAAACTGGCTCCAAGTCTCATTCTGTTAGGCATTTGTTGTGTCAGCCAGTCCGTAGCATTTGATATCAATAATCTTACTGCGTTTATAACCGCCATGCAATTCCTGTCATTTCTCTGGCTTACCGGACTGCTAACTATTGCAGAGACCCTGACCCAGCCTGACCAGATGGAAGCTAAATTTGACAGTGAGCTCATACCTGCAGACAATATTTAGTCTGGCTAGCCTACTGTCTGCAGTGGTTATATGCATACTGTGTGTTTGTAATGGTGTGTGTTAGTTTTAAGGCAGTGTTTACCAGGCAGACTGCCTTTCTCTCTCACACACACATAAACGCGCACACCCGCCCCTCATTTCTGATTCAGGGATCCTTTCCAGTCGCAGCTTTTGATGTGGTAACCTGACCCAGTGGGCTGGGTAGCTTATGACCTATGTGTCTCAGCATGGACCCTGTCATCAGGGTCCGTGCTACTCTGCAAGACCAGTAATGTGCATGATGTGGGTAAAAGTGTCCTGTACTGCATCATGACAAATGATGAGGATTGACTATGTTTGTTATGTTGTCAGCGGATGTGATTTGTGGACCTCGGATAATGTCAGACATACACAAAATCTTACCTCTGCAATCAAACACAAGTAGTATGTGAGAGTGAATTGTGCAAAAGCAAAAAAGCTTGACAGTAGCAAAAAAAGTGGCATAAGTTAGTAATGACCCCACTGTTAGCTTTCGGGAAAATAAATAATCTGCTGCACTGCCTGTGTTTTTTGTTGCAAAGTATGGCATAGAAGATGGCACCTGGGACTGTAAAGTCTAGCATTGCATTGTGCAGTGAACTTTGCAGCGTGGCACAGATGGTAAAAACAATTTGTGGTTGTACCTGGCTTTGTGGAAACATGCTTTCGACATAATTTGCAGTGTATGCTTTTCTAACCACATTATTAGTTTGCACAGTGTTATTCTCATGGCTTTTCATGTTGCCTGTCAAAACATTGATGGACTGAGTTCTCTTGCCTTTATATTGACCACGTCTCATATTTATATCGAAGAAAAGTTATTTTGTGATTATTATCAGTTTTATTGGCTGCCCTAGCAGATAGCCAAAGTGAGATGTCAGCATCAGGCCCTCCACCACATTGACTGAACTGGGGCACAGGAAGGAGAGAGCAGTGCTGCTGCTGATAATGTAGTTGTTCAGTCTACAGTGTCCAACTCCTAATATATCATAATGTAATCATGGTGTATACATTTTTGATAAAATGGTCAAAAACAAATAAGGCTCAATCTTTACAAACCCTGTTGTTGCCCTGCTGCTCATAGGAAGTTTATTTGATTGTTAGGGCTTTTTCCAGAATACTATAGGGCAGGGGTGTCCAACTCCAGGCCTCAAGGGCCGGTGTCCTGCAGGTTTTAGATGCGTCCTTGATCCAACACAGCTGATTTAAATGGGTAAATCACCTCCTCAACATGTCTTGAAGTTCTCCAGAGGCCTGGTAATGAACTAATCATTTGATTCAGGTGTGTTCACCCAGGGTGATATCTAAAACTTGCAGGACACCAGCCCTTGAAACCTGGAGTTAGACACCCCTGCTATAGGGTCTTGCAGTACAAAGTGGCTTGAGCTGTCTGTTGAGATTTGGCAATATATAAGTAAACCTGAATTTATGTGAATTTAATATAGACTCACACACTATATAGCACTATATAGTGATATTGCCCATTGTTTAGAGATGCCCCATTTAAAAAGCCAGGGGTTAATTGTTCAACAGTTTATTTTGAGGCTAGATGTTACAAATGAGGAGTGGTTTTGACTATGAAACCACACATTTATTGAGCCTGTGATTCCCTGGATATCCTTTCAAAATGTTTGGATGGCAGTAATTTACAAAATAGACTTGACATGTTGTACTCACAATGCCCTGAAACTTGTGAGTTTTCCTCATAAACTCTTTAGGAAAGTTTTTTTACTCAGGTCACAGGGTAAGAGAGCTTGAGGCTGTTTCCCCATAGATTGCTATTTAACTTGTAGATTGCTAACTAGTCTTTTTGCAACCACAGGTGTTGCCACTAAAACCGATTCAGGTTGAAGGAGATAACTTTTCTTTTGTTTACTGATTTAAGAGACCTTAAATTGGTTGTAATATCAGAGTGCTCTGTCCAATCATATAGGTGTGACTTTCATCCTTGCTAGCTAGGAGAATGAAGACACAACTTTCCCTTGTCATGTCTATACCAGGCTATACAGTTGGATAAAAATGAATGATAAATGCTGCTAGCGAATGTTTTGACATCATGTCCCAAGATGTTTTATCAAAATCAAAAGGAATATCGGTGTCATAATGCACATCGGTGTGAAAAGAAAAATAACAACAAGAAAGATTCTGATAAATATGCAGCAGTCTGAAAGGTGTAGTCATGTTTATCATCATTCAGAGCAAGGAAAAGCACGGAGCAGGTTAAAGGCAACTGAAGAAGCCTCACTACTCACTTATCAGTTCAGTAGCATTAATTTGATGTTTTGCTACTTGATATCCTGTGACCTAGAAAAATGAGAAACCACTTTGTTGTCAGTGTAAGATTGCCTGAACTTGAGAAGGCGAAAATGGAACACTCGTAATGGCGTATCCGGGCTCTTGCTGTTTCTTTTTTTTCTTGCTGCATTTTCTCTGCTACTGTCCTTCCATATCTCTCTCTGTACGCTGAAATCCTTTTATTTATTTTTAATATCATTGTTTTCTCTTCCTGTTTCACTGGTACTCTCTCAGCACAAATGGCACTAGTTCAGAATGACGTTATCATCTCCTTGGCAACCCCTTGGGCTGGTGCATGTGCGTGCACGCGTGTAAGAAACTGGGAGGAGTGTTGATAGAGCAGAGATCATAAGCGAGGGATGGGCAGAGGAGGAGGGGATAGGTAAAGCCGGTTTATTCATAAGCACCCCACTACTGGCTCTGATTCACAATTTCTCCTGCAGCCCCTCCCTTACATTGAGCTTGCACAGTTTGCTCAGCCAGGAGATTTGAGACTGACGTTTGAAATGAATGAATATATTTGCTTTCCCATCAAAAACCTTTCACTCTCTTTGTGCAAAACTGCCCTGCAGTGTGCGGTCAAGCTGGAGCATGATATTATTCTTATATGATCAAGTCGGCCACATGTCGGCGTAGCTGAGGTTTTGTGTAAGCAGAATATGGCTGGGGCCTGTGGGTGCCCTGGTCAGTGATGTAGTGTAATGCTGCTGGTGCTGCTGATGACGACTTTGCTGTTACATTGCCTGGGTCTTTCCCACACTGGGAATCCCTGCCTCATTTTGAACACGTTATCTATTCTATTCTACAGCATGGCACAGTGGTACAGGCATGGACGTACATGAATCTTCGACAGTGCACGCAGTGCATTTAATACAACAAGCGCACTTATTTTATTTATACAATTATATTAACAAAGTTGCATAACGTGCTGTTTTTAATCCTGTGTGATGGAGGAATATAGGACTATATGACCGTTTATTTGCTAGTGAGGCTGTGTTGCTGTTCTTGCATGACACCAGAATTTTAAAAAAGTACTGTTGGCACTGTTCAGGACCTTTTTTTTAAACAGGCAGAAATTTTCAGCGTGCTAGACTTTGCCAGATGGTGTGTGTCTGCTACCTTTCTGCTGGGATGAATTGCAGAGGAGGAACACATTTTTAGCGCTTTCTCAGAAAGCACATCGTGAAACATGGAGCCCACACTGTAGAAACTAATTATAAGCAGTGACAAAGTCAACAATTTAGCAGTTTAAGGAAGATTAATCCTGCTTTAGCTGCTACTTTTTAAAACCTGCCTGCTGCTAGGTTTTGAGCTTTCAGTTGCTTTGTCCCCCTCCCTCCTAGAAATAGCAGCAGCAGCAGCAGCGATGAGTCACTCAGTGTGTGAAACTTGACGTCATCCGTGTCTTCCTCTTCTGCTCTTGGTATACAGGACTCCTGACTGTAGGACGGACCATGCTGCTGCACTAAGCTGAAGAGAGAGAGAGAGGGAGAGAGGCCCCTGAGGACCCCTGAGGTGGTGGCTGGTCGTTTGGTGCCCCTCCCACTTGTCTGGCTGGCTAGCTGCTGCCTCTTCAATTCACCTGATTGCTGTAGATATCTTTTTTTATTTTATTTACCATGTGCATGTTGTTTTTCTAAGGTTATCCTAAAGGTGTGTCATTGAGAGCAGGTTTTGCACCTATGTTGGGAAATGTAGAGCTTAAAATTAGTTACTAAAATTAGGTACCTGCATTTCTAATTTTTTTCATTTACAAACTGATTTATTTTTGTCTGATGGTTTTTAAAAAACAAGAACCAAATAACAAAAAATAGCCTCCCTAATGTAAACCTAAAAAGTTTTTAGATGCTACTTTTTAAAGTTGGTGCTATTAGGTTGAGCTTTCAGCTGCTGTGTTCTCCCACTCAACTCCACTTGAGTGTCACAAGGCGCAGTAAAATGTTACATTTATATATATGTACATGTGTATGTATGTATGTATATGTGTATTATGTATCATAATTTGGGCATTTTTCTCTCTCTTGTCCTTATAGCCCTTCCCCAGAGGCTAAGACTTGCTATGGACTGCACTTCGCCTCCTGCTGCAGCCCAGTCGAGTACACTACGTTAGTGGGCCCCCACATCTTTCCGTGTGGTTCCTGTCCAGACTCAGTGAACAGAGTCCAGCTCCGATCTGGTACCACCTACAGGTAAATGGTGTTAAAGTACATTCTGTCTTTTTGGCTTTCCTTGCACAGTTTTTGCCAAGTGGGTAGCCATTCTGTGCAGCAAGTGCAGAACTTCCCCTTCTTATATCTATCTTCTTTTTTTTTTTTCTCAGCCACTGCTGGGTCCTCCACCCAACCCCCTCCCCACTCCCACCCTCCCCCCTTTCCCCTAAAAAGATGTCAGTGAGCCTGACAACGGACATCCAGCAGGAGGGAGAGAGTGGGCCACTTATTGAGCCCTGCAGTCGAGGCAAGACCTCCCCTCAACCACAGGGCACCAAAGAAGGAACTGGAGAGAGCCTGGAGCCGGATGATAGCTCTCCACAGGATGCACAGGTAGGAGAAGTTGATCATACTGGTGATAGTAAGTTTGCATTTAGATGTTAAGAAAAGAAAGGAAGTTGTATTCCACATAGTTCTAACACATTTCCTCTCTTGAGAAGGACCATTGTTGAATTTCAGGGCTGGTAACAATACTCAGTAATCAGCTGTTTGTTTTGTTTTGTGACTAGTAAGCTAACCAATTATTGTTGGTGTTACGGATGAGGTGGACTCAAGTCAGGAAATTCATATTATTTTTTTTTTTTTTTCAAATGAAGCTACCTTTACCGTCTACTTTATTGGCAAATATCTTATTGTGCTTGACAAACATTGTTGTCTTTTGAGTAACACATTACCAAAAATTTTATTCCTTATTTTGCTGCAGGTTTTTAATCAACGAACAAAAGCGTTATTATCCCACATGTTGTGTTGAAGCTTTGAGTTAGCCAGTAATGTTTAAACCACATTATGGTTTACACTGATAGATGCAGAACAATTTCTTACACACATGTTCATTTACTCCTCAACTTTATGTATCCTATTTAGTTTATTGTGTCTAATATACTGTAATTTAATTAATAAAATTATTCAATAAACTATTCTTTCAGAAGCGGGCTCCTAACCACAGCCATGGAAGGAAAAGGGCCAAGGTAAGTGTCTGTGGTTAGATTTTTTTTCTTTTTAAATAAATTTATCCAAGTTTATTCTTAATTCCTTGAAATAATCCCTGTGCTATTTTGTTTGTTTGTATAAGATGACCTTCCATTATTAACACTGTAATCCTCTCAACTACAGAGGAGCACCTCCTTTATTGGCTTAAAATCTTAAGTCCAACTTTAAAAGTAGCTGTGTTAGACTGACCTCTGTAATGATAAGAGAAAAACACATATAACCAGTTACATTTTACAACTAGATGTTGGTTTGCACAGTAAAGGAAAAAAAACCCAGGTCAGCTGTTTTGTGAGTATGGTGACCAAATTGTACGTAGCATAGTAAAGTAACATTTTCATTCAGTTATGTTAGTAATGAGTTATGGATACTGTAGCTCTCTTAAACTGGCTTTACCTTACTTACATGTATGTGTAATTGATTTTGGACATTCGGACATTGATAAATATGACATACCAGTGTTTAGTCATTCTTGATTATGAGAGTTCAACCCAGTTATTGCGTTTTAGGAATGGTATTTTAGTATGACATACCTTGCTTAACCAGTTCCCAATGCTTTCTGTAAAACTCATTATGGCTCATAATGGCTCCCATCATGTCACTTAAGGTTTAAGTTTCTCTGGGGTTTTAAACAACAAATGAAGTGTTGTCATTACATATGCTGTATTGAAGATTTGTGTTAGCCATGTGCCATCTTGGGTCTTTCTCCATTAGCCAATATCATTGTCCTGAAGGCTCGAGAGACATTTATGCTGTTGTTTATGCGATAGAAAGCCTAACATCAGAATTTTGGCATGGTACACAACGATGTTAATGAAATTCAGAGTTTCCTTGTATCAAAATGCTAGGTGCTTGTATTTTACACATGGATAGATGGAATAGTATGTTGTTGTAGTAAATTATAGTTGGAAAGTCTGAGCATAAAATCTAAAATCTAGCTTAGTGAGATTTGCTCTATTTCTGTGTTTAGAATATATAATTGTAACACATTAGCCTTACAGATAATTTGTGTGGTAATCTTTCAGTCTAATGCCAAACTGAAGCTGGTACGAAGTCTTGCAGTGTGTGAAGAGTCCTCCGGTCCGTTTTCCAATGATGGACCACCAGAATCGGTAACGTGTTTTCTTTTTTTTTCTTTTTTTTTGTTTGTTTGCTTTTTGTTTTGTGTTTTTTGTGGTTTGCAAGTCTGTTTTGACAGGATTTACAATGCCTAATAGGCAAAATTAGTAAATGCACAACCTGCAATTTGTGTAATAATGAAAAGCGGTTTTCTAGGATATCATCCAGCTTCACATCAGCTGTCCATCTGACAAAGAGGAGGAGAAGTCCTCGAAGGACGAGTATGAAAATGAAGAGGAGAAGAAGGACAAGACTCCCCGAAAGATGCTGTCACGTGGTAAGATGCAAACTCTCACTTCATAAAAGTATCTTTTCCTATCAACATCTTCCCTTAACTCTGTCTGATTATGCCTCCCCTCCCTTTTTGTTTTTTTTAAATAGACTCCAGTCAGGAATATACTGACTCCACAGGCATCGACGTTCACGAGTTTCTGGTCAACACACTGAAAAACAATCCCAGGTACGGGTCTGACGGATAAACATGTTGGTAATAAGACGAGCACAATAATAAATTACTTATTAAGTAAGATAGTGCTATTGATTTATACCAATCAATTTATAAAAATGATTTTTTTTCCTATTTTTTAAAAGGCTCAAATAGTGCAGTTCTTTGTCCAAACTATGAAAATATGAAATAATATCAAACTTGATAGCAATGATTTTATTTAAATTGCATTTTTTTTTAATTGTAAAATCAAATATAATTTTTTTTGGAGTAGTTGTTAAAAAAAATCTGCGCTCTCTAAATATCTTTATTTTCATCCCGCAAAATTGGATGTTGTGGTTAGCTGTCTACGCCTGTTCAGGCTTCTGTACATGAATTATTAACTTTTATTTTTTAGATATCTGAAAAACAGCAAGTCTTGGTGTCCTGAATTTTGAGAACACTTTTTTTGTTGTGTGTTTGTGTGCGTGTGTGTAAATGACATGTCAGTAGTATACTTGCTGCACTATTCGGCGTCTTGCTCACCTCTCTGATCTGTCCCTCACTCGCTTTCCCTCTATGGCTCACCAGGGATCGAATGATGCTGCTTAAACTGGAACAAGATATCCTGGAGTTCATTAATGACGACAAGTAAGCCACGTTCTTCATATCACTCACATGTTTTTAAATTTAGCCCTCCCCCCTTCAGTTCTTATTATTTATAGTGTGCTGAGGAAATGAGAGAATTATGTTCAGTTGTAGTTGTGTATTCTGTAATTAAGAATACTGTTTGTGTATCCTAACAGTTTGAAAATCGATCTTTATCATTTATAAATATGACATAATTATTTAGCTTGTTTTTCAAATGTCCTAAATAATCAGAGAATTAAAACCCAACTGTGGGTAATTTGCTCTGTTGAAATAACCTGCTTCATGCATTTTTATCTCTGTTTCAGTAACCAGTATAAGAAGTTTCCACAAATGACTTCTTATCATCGTATGCTGCTGCACCGTGTGGCTGCCTACTTTGGCATGGACCATAATGTGGATCAGACAGGAAAGGCTGTCATCATCAACAAGACGGGCAACACACGCATGTGAGTGTAGTTTGTCTTTGGCTCAGATTTCAACTAGTCTGGTTAGTTAGAACGTCAAATTAATGCTCAAAGTTCAATCCTGTTACAAAACAAAACACAAGAGGCAATGTATGTGATATCAGCAAGAGTACACAAAAACTTTATTTTAGATTTAATTACTGTTCATTAAATAAGTTCAAATTCGGACATTGGCTGTGGTGGAAAAAACCCTCAGCACACAAGTTTGACTCCCTGCATGTATCCCCCCCCAAAAAAAATCTAATAGATTTTTATCAGTTTTATTTAACTCTGTACCATTGTTTCAACTAAGAAATAAGTAAATTTTTAGTATAAATAATACTTGTATTGAGGTATTGATTGTGCCAGCAGCAGTTTCACCCTAAAGCACCAAATCCACACTTTTAAGCTTAAATTTCAAAACTTACATTTAACTACTGATTTTATCTACTGTTCTGATTTTATCTGTTTTGATTTTATATACTGTTTTGTTTGTTTGTTTGTTTGTTTGTTAATTAGTTAGTTTGTTTGCTTGCTTGCTTGTTTTAATCAATTTTAAATTATGCTTTTGATTTGTTTTTGTTTCTAATGTCTCTGTAAAGCACTTTGAATCACCTTGTTGTTTCAACTGTGCTATACAAATAAACTTGCCTTGCCTTGCCTAGATGTTAAAGTGGACAAAAATACTATCTGAGGATTTGTTAAAGCACATGTTGACAAATCGTTAGATCTAGAAATGAAAGAACAAAACATTTGACTCCCTTTGGAGGTACCAGCATTGCAAAATTTACTGTTTTTTCCCTATAGTTTACAAAATTTCACCAGTTCAGTTTTATCTAGGTTTATTTACTATATCAGTTTTCAGAAATCCACTCAACTTTTCTAGGCATGATTGGATGGAAGTGCATTTAAGAACATCATGTCTGACACTATCAGATTGGGCATTAAGCTTTCTTTAACTGTCAAATCCCCCATGTGGAGATTGATTTGCACGGATGTGACAGCATTGCAGGCAATAGTCTTGTGAGTTCACAGCTAGTGTCCTGTCTCATGCACGATTTACTTAAGCAGAATATTTCCAGTATTAAGAACCCAGCTGACGCAAATTTACTCCTGCTGTGACACATGTGGGGCAGTGCTTTAGAGCTTTGGACAACAGTTTCTTTCCCAGATTCTCCCAAAATTCTTGTCTTGAATTCATGTGTGAAACTAGCTCATGTTTAAAAGTATGCTTTTTGTCCTGTTTGTATAGCCCAGAACAAAGGTTCTCTGAACACATCAAGGATGAACGCAACATGGACTTCCAGAAGAAGTTCATCCTTAAGAGAGATGATGCTAGCATGGACAAAGATGATAATCAGGTACATTGATTGTTATCACAAGTACCTTGTAATTTTTTGTGTGTATACAGTGGTTCATTTGTTTTTTTTTGTCACTTTCCACACATGCTAGTGTTTTTAGCTCCACCAATGAGTTGGATCCCTCGCTGAGTAACAAAAGCTTCTGTAGGCTTGTCTCAAATAGTTTTTCTTAATAACTTTAAAAGAAACACTGTATGTAAAACTAGTTCTCAATCTTGCTGCCACATGTTACAGCTTTTGGAGATGGCCCCACAAAAATAAAGGGACATAGCTGGATTTAATGGCATGTGGTGTTTGACATGTTTTCATTCAGTCAGACAACAGATTGCCGAGGCATCTGGATGTGTGAACAACAAGCATTGCAGCAATTTCTTGGCTCAGTCCTGTAGTCATCTTACATAACCTTACTGAGGAGGCTAATTAGCTGTGTCAGTAACAGTTATGATAGAAGGCAGGGTTTGGCCACAGAATGGCCATTGGCTTACAGAGTACGGTTAAAGTAGCACAGTTATCAGTTAGGAGTGAAACTGCATTTGTTATCAAATATGAAAATTGATACATTCTTAATCTGCAGAATCTGGAAACATACCACATAGATTGCATTCCGAGGCTATGTACAAATAATTGCATTTCTCTGTCTGATCCTGATGCAACCACATGCATTTTAGCTTTTTGCTTGGTTTCACATCCTGTAGTTTCCATATACAGAATCTTTTCCTATTGCTAAATTGTGGTGATAAATTTAGGATGATGACTGGGAACTGCTTGACTGCACCATTTCCTTTCTAACCTAGCATCACCAATATCATTTCTGTATTAGTTATAGTCCTCCTACTCTCATACAGTTCATAGTCTTTAAGACATTTCAAAATCTTCTCAATGGCTAAGCCTAACATTATGACCACTAGTACAGATGAATGTTAATTACCTTATTCCAACAGCAAAGGTCAGAGAAAGACAGCAGCAGAAAGTTTTTCTGAGTGTATCCAAACTCCCCATCAGGAGTTATGAGTGTCTTTTTAGAGCTTTCCAGTAATCAAATTAGGGAATGTATTAGAGCAAATCCAAACTTTTGGCTTTGGGTTAGAATTTGCAGGAATTAAATGATCATCAATGCTTGAGTCTGTGTACAGGATCCCCTGAGGACCTGTGTGTTGCACCCAAAAGAGTAACGAAGTTCCCTGCAGTGGTGGTTATAATGTGACAGCTTTGGGGACCCCACAATTGTGAAACATGGAGCACAGAAATTCAGTGCAAAACTTGAATTTATCAGCTGTATTGTTAAATTTGATCTATGTAGGAGAGCTATAAAATTATACACTTTTATAAAAACATTTTCAGTTTATTTCAAAAGGAACTTGATCTTTGCATGCTTCAATATTTGAGTAGCTCTTGAGATTTTAAATTGGACATTTTCAAATACAGAGACAATTCTCCATTTTGGAATTAGGAGATTCTCTGTCTCAAAATTCATTTTGTTTACTTTGTGTTCTGGACCAAGTTTATCACACCATTTTATTCATTTCAGCAGTATTTGTTTGGGGCTATGACACTTTTTCCTAATGCTTGTACAGATTTGTCATACTGTCTCCTATGATTCTATGTTTGTCACGTTTGTGGTGTTAAAAATTCCCACGCTGACTCATCCCTTGAACACTCACTTTGCACAGTTTTCATTCTGCTGTCTTGTTTTGACAACAGACATCTGCTCTTCCTCACATGCTATTGTTATCTTGTGCATTGCTGCTACTTTTCTTGACAGCAGGTTGTACAAAGTGTGACTATACGTGTTTGAAAATTAAATTGCACGCTTAATAATTTTACATTGTCATTCTCTCCCCAAATATTAGATCCGCGTGCCACTGCAGGACGGGCGGCGTAGCAAGTCCATTGAAGAGCGAGAGGAAGAATATCAGCGGGTACGAGACCGGATCTTTGCCCGAGAAGTAAGTATTGAACATGGATGGAGGAGCAAGTGCTTGCAGTGCATATTTCCTCATATGTCAACAGCACCAGTGTTTACTCAGTCAGGTTTACTCAGAAATTTATTTCTTTCTGATAAACTTCCACAATATCAACAATTACCTTCACGTAGTAATTTACTTTATGTGTTAAACTGATTTTTAACGAACTGTTCTTTTTCTTGGGTTGAATAATTGACAGTTGTATTTTGACCAGATGCTTGTGGTAGACATAAACAAGCTTTGGACATAATTTAATGGGATTTCTGACTGTTTGTCTTGGCAGAATTAGTAAAGTTCAGTACAGTTTGTTGTTTTTCAGGAAGAACCTACATTTTAAGCACATTCCACATAATGATCTTAAAGGGTTAAGATCAGGAAGACTTTATGTTAGCTGGATTTATCCCTCCTATTAACGGCTTTGATTTGTGTTCAATGTGAGATGTCTGAGGTATTCGTCCTCCTCTATCTTTAGTGTTTAGTGTTTTTTGAGGAGTTTGGAGCCATATGGTCTGTTCTCCACTTAGCTAAAGGTAACACCTTGGACTTACTGATCTTAAGCACTTCCCAACTTTTTGGGAGATTATTAGAAAGTAAGTGATCAGAATCATGTGATAATCCTGGAATCTGGAACTCGTAAGAAATCAGTTATAAAGAAAAAAAAAAGCCTTTTTATCCTTCCCCTCCCCAATAAGAGAGTTATGTAGTAGGGTCATTCAACCTCAGAGGAACAGTTCAAAGAAACCAGTGAAGGATCTGTAATGCTATGGCATTCATATCCAAAATGACTTTAAGTAATCTTCAGAGTTTCATCCATGCTGCTTTTCCAGTGAGTCACTCATCTCAGACACGCTCACTCAAATGGCACTGGGTTGGACTGCTGGCAAGAGTAGTCCTTGTTGAAAGTGTAGACTGTTGGTAAACCCACCAAGACTGCGCATCAGAACAAAGATGTCATAAAATCTGCCTGTAATGAGATTGAAACTGTAACTGGATGTAGTCCAAAACGCTGAAGTGAAAGCTCGTCTGCTGGATGAGAGAAACACTGAAAAGGCAGTTTCGTGTTTTGATTCTTATCATTTGCGACACTCAATTTGCAGTCTCTTGTAAGGTTCTTGATCCCACACTGGGAATCTGTGCTTTATTTTATGCCAAATACTCATAAATCCAAGCCTGTAAACCTTTTTGAAATGGAAAACACTGCTTGTCTTAAGTGC